AGAGAGAGAGAGGAGGAGGGAGGAGGAGAGGAGGAGAGGAGGAGAGAGAGGAGAGAGAGAGAGAGAGAGAGAGGAGGGAGGAGGAGGAGAGGAAGGGAAGAGGGGGGGGGGGGAGTGAAGAGAGGACGGAAAGGAGAGGGATTCCAAAGGTGGTGCGGAGGAAGAGAGGAGGGAAGGGCAGGAGGAGGAAGCGATCAAGTCGAGATGAAGTCATACCTGCTCCCTCAAGAGAGAGATCGTGATGGCACAGGTCCCTCGGCTTCTCCCTCCACACCTTAGAGTTGGAAACGCGACTCCTGTACTCCCTCCACGTCTCCTCCTCCTCCTGCGGCTTCAACCCCACTGCCCGGCGTATACCCATCAGCATCGGCAAGGAAGCGCAGCCATGCCCTGGCACACAACCTGGTCCAGCTTGAAGTCGAAGAGTTGCGGGTCCTCGGGCTTTCTCCTCCTACCTGCTGCTCCTGCCATGATCGACGTACCTTGGAAGATTAAGTCCATCAGGTCCAAGTCCTTGACCACGGACAGCAGGGGAGTCCCGTCGTGCGGGCAGGCGACTGTTGTCACCGTCCTCACCCACCTGTCGCTGATGGCGTCGCTGTACTCGAGCTCACCGAACACGTCCTCCTCCTCCCTGTCCCTCCCGTGCTGGCTCAGCAGCTGCACAAGGGCCCTTGCGGTCAAGCCACCCATGCTGTGACCGAGGAGGTGGATTGGGCGCTCCTCGCTCCACTCCGGGTAGAGCCCCGGAAAGGTGCGACCATATCGCTCGTGCTTGTGCGCTTGGGAGTGTGCCCTCCCGTAGTCCACCCTTCCTCCCTTGATTTGATAGAAGAGTTCGACGGCTCTGTCCCAGACGGAGCTGAAGGGGCCGACGGAAGCAGTGAGCACACGCAGCGATCCGTCTGCATCCATGAGCTCACTTGCAAGATCTTTCTGTGCTCCCCAGTAGAAGAACTTCCCTCTCATCTCCTCGCGGCTCCACCCGCCGAAGCCATGCACCAGAACTACCACCATGGCGCTCCCATCGCCGCTTCGTCTCTCACCATCGTGAACCTCGCTCATTTTTAACTTGGCGTACAAAGGTACTGTCTCTCACGTTCTTCGAACCTATCTTCTCAAGAAGACCAGCCGCCCTCCTCCTCCTCCTACTCTCCTCCTCTCCTCCTCCCCGCTTCCCTGGCACGCATTTCCTTGTCGGGGAACGGTTTTAAAAAAAATGTTCTGAACATCCCGTGAACCAGAAGGAAGGGGGGCACAGGTAGACACTATCCCGTAATTTACTAGTACCTCATTCGTGAAAAGTTTCGCCTTGCCCCCCTGTCTAATTCACCCCGTAGGACTCCCTGGTACAACACACTTTGTACCCCAGATTGTACTCATCGATCGCGATGGTAGGAGGAGAAGGAGACAAGCAGGCGCGGGGGACGCTTGTCGCCCGGTGAGGGAGGGAGAACATCATCGAGGTCAAGCATCTTTGTGCATCAGTAGAAAGTTCAGCCATCCCACTACCTTGGCGCAGTGAGAGCAGAAACATCTGAGGGGCGGTCCCTTGTTGCTGACCCTTCAAGGAGATTCTGACCCAGCGCCATGGGAGGCCCGGCAAGATTCAGGCGTGAAGATAACTCCGGCATGTCCATCGTGGAGAGAGTGTTCGGTCGGGAGGTTGAGCCAGCGCGCGAGCAAATGGCGACCAGGAAGCTGACTGAAGGGGAAAGGGAGATGTATGGATACAGAATAGCCGGCATGATCGATTTCTTCAGTTCAGAACAGAGCTTTCATAGCGCTCTCACCTCGGACATGCAGCATCTCAAGCTCCCAATGCCTCTCCAGAGCCTTGAAGCTTTCCTTCTCGACCTGACCAGCAAGGAGGGAGGGAGAGAAGAACAAGGGGCGGAAGAGGATGCGCTCTTGGCAGAGCAGCGGAGGAGGAGTGACTGGGTCTGTGGAGGATACGCCCAGCAAGCCCTGCTTCTCACCATCCACCTTGAAGGGCTACAAGACTGCCCTCAAGCACTTGCACTCGAGCCATGGCACCCCGTTCGAGGCTCAAGGCATGCTGGACTCGGAGTCGACTTTGGATGACCTGATTGACAAGTAGGTGAGCCGCCATGCGCAGCTTCTTCCCGACGATGAGCCGCCATGGACCGTGTACACGCTGGACCTGGAGGGAACCGTGTCGGTGCAGGCGTACCTCACTCTGGACAGGCTGCTGCGGAACCTTGGGCCAGGGAACGGGAGCAACGGGACCGATGCCAGCTGGGTCTTCGGGTGGACTTGCAGCACGATGCTATGGAATCTCCTGTACATGAAAGAGAGTCTTGACGACTTGATGCTGAAGGACTTCGACTGGGATAACGACTCCATGAGGTACAGGGTGACCAAGCACGTGTATGCGGCTCTGTACAGCCCTAAGTTGTGCTCGATACTGAGCGCTGCTCTGTTTACATTCTCCCAGAGCCGGCCGACCCCTTAGAACAATGACAAGTTCTTCCCGGGTCCAGACTGCAAGGCGAAGTTCGCATACATCTTTCAAGGCACCTTGGAGCAGGGGAGGGAGGAGCATCTGTGCATTCGCGACCTCCGCAAGGCCTCAAGTGCGTCCCTGCGGAAGGGAGGCTTGACTCTTCTACCCGGCCAGATGGACGGGCCAGATACCTCGCAACCTCTTCAGCGCATCCCTCCCAGTGACCATGGCCTGTGCAGGACCGTTCCGAGTCTAGCTACGGCACGGCGAACCATCCAACAGGTCCCTAGTGAAGACTTTGCTCCCGTCCTGCATCCTCCACTGACAGTTATTCTCCAGGGATCCGAGGGGTACCAGGCGTGTGGAAGGCTGCTCGCAGGGAACCCTTTCAGATCTACTGATTTCAGCCTCCTTCCCCCTCACCTGACGCAGCAGTGCCTGCGCAAGGTTGAAACCGTAGGGTGGAACAAGTTCGTGTTCCTTTCTTCCTCGCCAGGAGTGGTGGTGGAAAGCTCGGAGCGGCATAGGAGCTGCTATAGAGTGTGAGTAGCCTCCCGAGAGAGAGACTGTCTAGAGTGCGAGGGCTACTGGATCAGAGCGTTGAGTAGACTCGTACTACTGAGTACGGGGGTGCAGGCCCGATAGCGAGTTGCCCGGGGCCCGGGAGGCCATTTATAAGAATTTATGTATAACATTTCATAATGTTGTATATCTGTCGGGGGATTGTACCCGCAGCACCCGCGACATGCACACCGACCATGGCGGAGAAAGATCGCGAGCGAGGAGAGGAAGGAGGAGAAGATAGAGAAGAACGTCAACATCAGCATCAACATCAACAAGGAGACGATGAAGGGGAGCTGAAGGAATAATGGAATGATTCCGGTGATAAACCTTTATCACCGTCCTCGTCAATAGCAGCTGATCTCCTGCACTTGACTCTTCTGGTATGAGATCGACGATCTGGGTAGCCGTACTGCTAGCTGCTCTTGCCTTGTCAAGCTTGGCGGAAGACGACGAGGATAGGTGTGAGGCCATTGCGGGCCCGAGCGACGGAGAGGTCTTTGAGGATGGTAGCCCAGAGATCTTCTTCGCTGTCGGCGAGTGCTTCCGAGTGCCTGAGACGTACAACCAGGAGGTCAAGATCACGATTGAGCTCAGACCCAGCACGAGGGTGTACAACTTCAATGTGCTCGCTCCCGACCTCCAGCGGGGCCAGGACCTGAGACTCCCTGTCGCCCTCCCAGACGCGAGCTACGAAGGATTCGTCCGCATCGCTCCTCCGTACAACCTTGCCCTGAGCCTGCGCTTCACGGTCGTGTCGAGCTCAAGGAAGCAGCTCAAGGTCGTGTTTCCTGTCCCCGGCTTCGCCTTCGGGTCGCTCTCAACCCCCTGGGTCCAGGTCCTCGTCACCGATGACGCGCTGGCGTCGAAGGGGGTAAGGGAAGTGAACTATTTCCTGCAGCTCTCAGTGAACGGCCGGCCGCCCATGTCCATCCCGAGCCCCAACGGCCGGCGGATCGAGCTCGGGTCGGGCACGAGCATCGGCGAGAACAGGATCGAGCTTGAGGTCCTTGACATCCTCAGGCGACCCCTCGGCCTCTCCACCTCCTTCACTCTCAACATCTCCAGCAGCCCCGAAGACTCGTTCGCGTCTCCCCCCGGGTCCTTCAGCAGCGAGGAGCTGCACTGCGGCGGCGCCAGCGGCAGCTGCCGCTCCCCGGAGGACTGCTCGGGGCACGGGGAGTGCGGACGGGGAGGATACTGCGAGTGTGGCGGGGACTGGGCGGGGTACAGGTGCGAGCACAACATGCTGTTCTCCCCCAGCTTCCTCCCCGAGAGCGACCCCCTGCTGTCTGAGAGCAGATGCCATGGAGCAAGCAGCAGGTGATGGGGAGGTAGGAGGGCCGGTCCGGCTGAGCCTTCACGCAGGCTCAAAGCCGTGGCTGACCTCCTGCAAAGCATGGGGAATGTTATGAACCCTGGGGAGTGCCAGGTGCATACCACGTTCGCAAGAACTTCGCGCTACTCCTCGCGCTGAACAAATCAGCTGGAGCCAACGAGAGAGCTGAGGGTGCGACGAGTAAGATGCAGGAGGGGCAGCAGCAGCAGCAGCAGCAGGGGGAGGAGGAAGCGGAGGAGGAGAAGGAGGAGGCTGCCCTGTCGCATCTTCATCCTGCTACCAGGAGGAGACTTAGGACGGTAGCATCTGATCTCCTCGACCTCCCGATGTCTCGTCGCTCCTTCAACGGTAGCGAGCAGGAGGAGCTCGAGAAACTGAACGACTGGGACCTGGAGGGTCAAGTGCCGCAGGTGAGAGGAGGGGAGGGAAGAGGAGGGGACAGGGTATGGAGGGAGGCAGAAAGGAGAGGAGAGGAGAGTGGCGGAGGAATTTTACGGAGAGAGAGGGCAAGGGATGTAGGAGAGTTGCAGGAGCAGGAGCAGGAGCAGGAGCAGGAGCAGGAGCAGGAGAAGGAGCAGGAGCAGGAGCAGGAGCAGGAGCAGGAGCAGGAGCAGGAGCAGGAGCAGGAGCAGGACCACCAGTAGCAACAAGAGCAGCAGTAAGAGCAAGGGCAAGAGCCAGGAGCAGGAGCAGGAGCAGGAGCAGGAGCAGGAGCAGGAGCAGGAGCAGGAGCAGGAGCAGGAGCAGGAGCAGGAGCAAGGAGCAAGGAGCAAGGAGCAAGGAGGAGGAGGGGCAGGAGAATTTATGCACTGCTCGAAGGTTCTCCGTCCCCCAAAGAGCATCGGGAAGACGGTTGGGGTCCTGTGGTGGAATTCTTTCCTCACAGAGCAGATCCTGAGGCCCAGCCGTTTCCTGGACGCCCACCTCCGCCATGCACGAAACGCGGTGGGGTAGCGCCAGCTCGTCTCGAGAGGCTCCTCACCTGCTACCGCAGGTCAACTTCCAGCACCCTATCCTCGGCATCCACGTGCGACACGGGGACGCCTGCAGTGACTGGAGTCGTCCGAGGGCATGTAGAGGACTGTCGGAGTACGTGGAGGCGGCGGAGGAGATGAGGAGGAGGTGGGCTCGCTGCTGTTCCGCTGCTTCCGTCATGCTGCGTCAGGTACGGCGTTACAAGGATATTCCTCGCCACAGACTCGGAGGATGTGAAGCGAGAGTTCGAGGTGCTCTCTCCCTCCCTCCCTCGCTCTCCTCCCTCTCTCTCACCTCCTCCCCTCGTGCTTCCTCCTCCCTCCCTCCTTGCGTCTGCTCTGCTCTGTTGTGCTCTCCTCTCCCCTACTCCCCTCCTCTACCCTCCCGTTCCCTTTTCTGCTCTTCTCTCCTCTGCTCTCGCCCTCCCTCACCCTGTGACACGCTGAAAATTCAACGCAGCGCCTGCCCAACTTCTCCGTGACGAGCTTGCCCGGCCTTGACCGCCAGACGTTTCACTCGGACCTTTACATCGAGTTTCGTGTCCAGATGAAGATCGTGGACAGGAAGACGGTCAGGCGATTCGTCTCCTGCTCCTGCTGCTCCTGCTCTTGCTCCTGCTCCTGCTCCTCCTGCTCCTCCTGCTCCTCCTGACTGAACTTACCAGGTCACCCACTCGTCCTTCCTTGACCTGTACGTGCAAACATCTCCTGACCTTGCTGCTCCTGCTCCTGCTCCTGCTCCTGCTCCTGCTCCTGCTCCTGCTCCTGCTCCTGCTCCTGCTCCTGCTCCTGCTCCTGCTCCTATCCTCCTCTTCCCTAGTTAATCCTCTGTTCAGCTTCCTGCTGGCCCAGTGCGACTACTTCGTTGGGACCCTCAGCAGCGCCTTCAGCTCTGTCGTCCTGGAGCTGAGCATAGCACGTGAGGGAGAGGTGGAGGGAGGGGGAACGAGGACGATGCCACGGGGGCTATGTACCATGATGTTATGCACGATGGTGGTGGTGGTGGTGGTGGTGGTGGTGGTGGTGGTGGTTGTGGTGATGATGGTGATGATGATGATGATGAGGAGGAGGAGGAGACAGAGGCAGGCGGGTAGAGGAGGAAGGCAATGACGATGGTTCACAGAGAAAGGATACTACCCTCCCTTCATCTCCCTCGACATTCCTTGGAGGCCTTTCCGTCCCTTCGAGCCTCATCCTTACCTGAGCATGCAGCATCTCGTAAGAGATTAACGCATTTCATTTATTCTTTGCGGCAGATTCTTAAAGCTATTCCGACATTTCAACTTTGTCTTCCCCCTCCGCTGGGGCCTCTTGCTCCTCCTTCTTGGCTTCCTCTTTATCCTTTTCGTGCTGCTCCCCAGTTGTCTCTTCCACACTCATCGCCGTATCTCCATCGTCTCTACCTGTTTTCTCCTCTTGATTCTCATCGTCAGCTTTCTGCCCCTCTGACTTGACCTCCCCTTCGCCCATCTCTTCATCTGCTTGCTGATTGTCTGGCTTCCATCCACTCGAGCTCACTCCCGCCCTCGCTGCTTCTCCTTCGCCATTGACGTGTGCTCTTGATGGTTCCCCTTGCGGCTGTGAAGAACTTTCGCCATGAGCGACAACGGCGGCAGGAACACTTGCCTGCGGGCTTCCGAACGTACTCTCCAACTCATCGCTGTCGTAGCTTGAGGCCTCCGAGAGGACCTCCTCCTTCTCCGCCGCCCAGATCTCGTCTGACATCTGCCATACATGCATGCTGTCTTCCAGGTCAGACACTGTCGAGATGAGCCAGGGGTCGTGAAGGTTCCAAGTGATGTCGGATATCTTACAAGTGTGCCCGGCATGGACGAACATCAGCTCCTCGGGGTCTTCAACGAAGGAATCTCTCTTGCTAGGTGCGTTCGATGTGTCCAGAATGTGGACATTGCGATCGCGGCTGCCTGAGGCCAGGATGTTTTGACTGTGGGGAGCCCACGAGACGACGTCGACGACATCAGTGTGAGAGTTGATGATGTAGAGCGAATCGTCCATCTTCCTTCTGTCCCACACCTTGACAACTCCCGCGTCCGCTGATCCCGAGGCAATCGCAAACAGATGATGGTTGATATGATTGAAGGAGATGGAGTTCACCGGGTGCTGCGATACTTCGTGTATGCTCGTGGGGTCTGAACCAGCCCTCATGTCCCACATCATGACAACTTTGTCGTCTCCGGCGGTTGAAAACGTATCCTCGCAGAAAGGATGCCATGCCACATCACTCACCACATCAGAATGTTTCCTGAAAGTGTAAATCGGATCCAACCCCCTGATCCCCTGCCTCGATTCTTCGGGCGTGCCATTGATGTCCCACACGCAAACTTTTTGGTCGTAAGATCCACTGAGGACGTAGCCTGTCTTCCTGTCATTCCAAGCCAGTCCGTAACCTTCCTTCGTGTGCCTGCAACAAAGAGTCACTACAAGCAAGCCTCGGGTTCATCGAGTAGCCGCACCCTCGCAGTAGTAGAGTGTGGCAGAAATTCACGTCGTCGAACTTTTTCTGGGTTCCAATATCGAACAAGTAGACCTCGCCATTACCTCCAGATTTCGTTGCAATGATCCTTGAGTTCTGAGGCATGTACCTGGCGCGATTCACCTCCCCTTTGTGAAGCAAGCGAGTTTCCATCTCAACGTTGGATCTCAGGTATGCATTTTCAGATGGGTGTAATCGGCCTTCCGGCTCATATTCGTTGACTTCTTGCTTTTCACTGAGGTCTCGTGGGATATTAACAATAGCAACCATCAAGAAGTCTTTCCTTTTCTTGGGGTCAGTGTGTGAGGAGTAGGTTCCAAGGAGCAATCTGTGGGCAAAAAGTCTGCATCGACCTCCAATTTCTCAGGAAGCCACTGAACAGTTAAACTGGGCCATTCAAGAGCTTGCACCATGGCAAAATCGTACAAGAGAGGAGAATTCTTCATCCAATTTCTATGGGCTCTGTCGACTTTCTTCTGGAGCTCTTCATCAGTATCGTTTGCATTCGCATTCCTCTTGAGGCTCCAGGTGCCTGCAGGAAGGCTTGAAGACGATGTTATGGGGACCAATTCATCTGGCGATTTCTTCTGATGTTCTTCCCGTTGTTTCTGCCTTAGATCCTTCTCATATGCCTTCACCAATCGACGGCGTCTTTCGAAGTCGGTTTCTGAACTCCTGCATAGTGAACTATGTGAGTCGATGATAAAGATCAGGGCGCAATCTTTACCTGCCGTCGTCATCCCACCGCCGAAAAGATCCTGGAGGGATGATGCCTTGCCTTGCCTCGAATGCTTCCAAGGTTTCATTAGAATTCGCCAGCTTCACTTGTTGCCTTGGTCGACGATAATTGTTCTTTGCAAGTTTTGCGAATTCACTTGCTGTGAGTTGACCATGGCCGCTGACATTTATCTTGACCTCGAAGTTTGCAGCGAGGATCAGCTCTCCATCTGCTCGAACACCTTTGTTATCTCCAGTTCCCGTCACATAGACCCTGATGCCGTTGATCGCAGACGAGTTCGGCGTAGCTCTGTGCATAGCATAACGGGGAAAGGCAGGGCTGGAGGACGAATTCCACGAGTTTGACGTGGGAAGATTCCACTGCCCAGATGATGACCCGAGACCCTGATTGAATCCAACGTGCTGGTACGGATACATCTCAATCTTACTAATGTACCTGTGCAAAAATGAGCATTCATATTTCATCTCGTAGAACTCTGGATCTTGTGATGACCTATGAGAATGAAAATCGGCAGGTTTGATCTTCAATTCTCACAGAGCTGATATGAAGACTCTAGGAATCAGGGGATGAGTTGATGCAGTGAGAGGAGGAAGCTTGGCAAAGAGATGCATGCAAGGGAGAACCAGGTCAGGCATGACAGCTGTGGGAGATTCTTCACTAGAGTTAGGACAACCAGCAAGGGAGATGGAGAGGGCAAACAGAGATAGAACAGATCCAAACAGAGCTAGCAGTGCAAGTGCATCTTTGTAGTACATAGAGGAAGAAATGCTACTCTGCTGGAGATGGAGAAGAATGAGAAAGTGGGATGGAATGCAGACAGGGAAGAGAGAGGAATGCGAGAGGAAGGCGAGGAGGAAGTGAAGCAGAATATCAAGAGGTAGAGCAGAGGAGGAGAGGAGAGGCCATCGGTGACGCCATGGCGGGCAGCTCTCATGCGTGTCCGCGGGTTCAGCGGCATGGAGCGGAAATGGCGGGAAACTCGTAAGGTCTGTAGTCAAGATAGGAGAAAATATTCATTTGCATTCGAAAAATTATTGAAATGTTTTATGTAATTTCTAAATTAAAAAAGAATATTTATATCACTCTTGAAATGCTCTCCGCACGTAGTGAAGGTGACTAGGTGATATTGACTATAGGCATGGTGCAGAGATGAGGCATGTTTATCTCCCACATCCCCACCCTGACCCCGGTATGGACCTCATGAAACCGCGAGACTGGGAGAGCCAGAAATTTGCCCGCCCGACAACTGGCCCGATAACCGCAATGAGGGAGGGAGGGAGGGAGGGAGGGAGGGAGGGAGGGAGGGAGGGAGGGAGGGATGGAGGGAGGGAGGGGGGGGGGGGGGGGGATGGATGGAGGGCAGGGAGGGGGGGATGGATT